GCCGCGCTGCGGCTGCTGCTGGACGCCGCGCCGCCCTTCACCTGCTCCCAGCCGGTAAGCGCGGCCGCGGGCGGCGCGGACGGGGGCCGCGGCGAGGGGGCGGCAGCAGCAGCAGCGCGGCCGCTCCGCGGGGCCGCCGGGCAGCGGGAGGCGAGACCGGCACCGGGACGGGACGAGCACCGGAACTGGGGCCTCCGCGGGCGGGCGGCGGCGGGGCCGGCGGCGGCGGCCTCCTCCCGGCGCCAACGGTCACCAACGGTCACCAACGGCCGCCCGCGGCGCGGCCTGCCCCGTTCCGCTCGGCCGCGGCTCCTCCTCGGCGCCGTGGGCAGCGGAGGGGCGCGGAGGCGCCGGCGGGGAGCGGTTTTTACCGGCCTGAGCTGTGAGCTCCGAACAGGGGCTCCATTGGGAGAAAGTATCGAAGATGCACTTAAAAAAAATGCTTAGAATTGGGGAATCTCTCTCTTTTGTTAATAATAATGGTTTGTGCCTGGTCACGGGGTCACAGTTAGCTTTCAAGCTGGGAAGACTGCTGTGTCGTGATGCACCAGCCTGGAGAAGGCAGCTCTTGGATGCGGTTACTCGTATGTCAAGCCAAGTGTTTGCTTTGGGATGATAGGTTTATAAATGGGCATGCAGTAAATGAGTGATGTGCTCTTTCTAGCCTGCTCCACTGCCTTTCCAACCCTGCCTTTCTAGCTCTGCAGAAGAAAATATCCCTCGCTGCATTAAATCAGAGTATGCGTGGCCAGCTATAGGAAGAAAATGTGACCCTTAAAAGAAGACATAAATCCCAGCTGTTACACGGCACTTCTCCCACTTCAGAATGTCTTAGCAGGTGACATTCTGTTGAGATGAATGTCTCCTACATACATCATGGGGAGAAGCCTTCAGCACAACTACCATGATATACTGACCTAAAGAAATATTTTCTTGATATGGCTATCTTAAACCTCTGGTAGCTTGAGCTTAGGAGCATGTCCTGTGATCCCAGTCCCTTCTTTATGTCCCATGGGAGACTAGTTCTCTCCAAGACACTTGTACTTTTGTAACTCTATAATCTTCGACCACAAACTGAAGGATCAAAAGTTCCACAGGAATTTAAGGAAACATTTCTTAACGGTGAGGGTGACAGAGCCCTGGCACAGGCTGCCCAGGGAGGCTGTGGAGTCTCCTTCTCTGGAGATCTTCCAAACCTGCTTGGACACAGCCCTGTGCCATGTGCTCTGGGTGACCCTGCATGTGCAGGTCCTTCTCTAAAGGTCCCTTCCAACCTCAACCATTCTACGATTCCTTACATATTTCATATTCTGCCTCCTGCCCTAATATTTAACCATGAACTTGCCCACTTCAGCTTCTTTGCTGACTTCACACTACCCTGAGAAAATAGTCTGCTTTTGTGATTTTACTATACCCTGGACATTGGGAGTTTACAAAATGTAAAACCTTAGGAAAAGGGAAGGAGGAGACTATAGGATTGCTTAGGCATTTCACGCATGGAGTTTGGAGCTGAGTGGCCCTGTCTTTTGTGGGTCTGAGGTTAACACATTATAGAGTTTCTGGGAGTCCTTGAGTGCTCTGGGTTTAACAGACTCCATCTTCCTGGTTGCACATCCTGGTTTAGGGAAGGTGAACCCAGGTTTGCCAGCGAGAGTGTTGCCAGTGTCTCCGAGCTCCGCCGAGGGGGCACGTTGCCCTGTGCACTCGTGGGTTGGAGAGCGTGTGAGCCTGCTGCTTTGGTGGCTCTTTCAGTAAGTCATTTTCTAAAAGGCTGGCCAGTTCTTGAAAAATATGCAGTAGGCTGCGACAAGTGTGTAGCAACCTCTTCAGAAGCAGCTGTGAAGCTGCTGACACGCACAGGAAAACTACCATCAACCCAAATGATGACAGTTGACAACGGCTTCCCCTTCCGTTCGTGCCGGCTGTGCTGCTCTTGGGGGGAGACTCGGTGCTCCTGCCGTTAGTGACTGCGGTGTGGTTGGAAAGGGAGACTTGCCGAGCCAGGGCGGTGAGACACGTTTGCTTTCCCTAAGCCACGGCGCTCGCACTGCCCCTTCCCAGCATGGGAGGAGGCCAGGGCTGGCAGCGGTGGCTCTTCAGCAAAGCTCTCATCCAGCAGGGGCAGGACACACGGTGGTGGTGTTGGAGAAGTGTCACATCAGCGGGCGTTATAACAACTGGAGAGAGAAAAAAGCTCATGTGAAGAGGAGCTCATCTTACTGAAATGAGAACACAAGGCCTTCTGAGCACCACCTCATTAAATTGGCTCTGCGGGGTGTGAGGCCGAAATCACACAGTTGCAGATCCAGTTCTTTCTAATAACAGCAGAGCACACGCTCCGTGGGGAGGTGCTGCCCTTGCTTTGCGCGCTGGGAGGAGACGTCCCGCAGACTAAATACCCCAGTGGTTGCTCACCGGCAGGGTGAGTCACCGCAGCGGGTCCGGGCTCTAACGCTCCGCAGCGCGGCCGCCTCGTGTCCCCGTGGACGTGGTGCCTCTAGCCCTGCTCTGCTCCACCCTGCTGCATGGGCGTGGGGGCCTCCCTGGTGATGGGCACTAGAAACCTGCCCGGGGAAAGTTCATGGAGCTCTGCTCATGGAGGCAGAGGTGCACGGGCTTTTCCCCTGTCTTCTCTACCAAGTTGTTAACTTGCCTTCACTGTTGACCATCTGTATTAAAATACAGCAGTGGTTTCGGGGAAAATGTTTTTTACTTCCTAGCTTTAAACATTTTTCAGTAGGTATTCTTGTAAAACATAAATGTCCATGCTCCCGTATATCTCTGTTTCTGAGAAGTGAGGAACCACGAAAGGGAAATTACAGTAAATTTTAAACCAGTCAAGTTTTGGAATTGCATGGAATAGCTCATGTGTGAGAAGCAAACTGGCAAATTTAGGGAGGTTTCAGGGAGGTTTCCATTTAGCATCAGCTTGCTTTTTTTTTCTTCTTTTTTTTCTTTTTTTTTCTCCTCCTCTCTCTCCTCTCTCTAAGTTGGATACCTTCCCAGCTCAGCGCATTTCCTTGCCAGCCAGTTACCACAGTATCCTGCTGGGAAGTCTAGGCCTTGCAGTAATGTAACGATTGGCTTGCTGTGACACAGTGCTTTTGAGCAGTTCTCCGATTCATATGGGCCCTGTGGAATGTGGTCTGCTCTTTGACGTCAAAAGCAAAAGTGAAACTGGCGAAAGCGTTTTTTAGCTTTCTGCGAGTATGTCACCCGTGTGAGTCGATTGTGCCTGCTCTCACCCATTGAATGTTGTTTTGTGCGCCACTTTGCAGTCTTTTTGTTTTAATTTTTATGCTTGCTGTCTCTGCAGCTTTGCATGGTTCGCCTGAAAGGTGATAGGATGAGAAGATAACATCTGTTTAAGGCAGTTCTGTAGCACTGTGCACAGCCCGTCACCCACCTGTGGGGTCCATCTTCAGCCTTTATGTAGAGCTCTTCATCTTCGCCCTCTTTCCCTCCGTTTGTCTGTTTGCTGCTCTGTGGTGTCCTGCCTGGTACACCCCGCTCAGTCCTGTAAATGCTCCCCGTGTGCTCCCAGCTTTATGTGGGGGCATAGAAAAACTCATCTGTGTAATCTTATTTGTGTCTTATCTGCCCGTTTCTGCTGATGGCAGCTCAGTTTGTGTAGCCGTTGGGTGAGCTCAGGGTTGTGGGGACTGGGCTCGCCCGGCCCTGCCGAAGGGCACACACCAGCAGCAGCAGCGGTTCCTCCCCGCACCGGAGAGGCAGCAGGAGAATGGAGAGGTAGATGCTGTGCCCCCAACGGCTCAGGAAATCTATGGAATTAAGCACTGCTCCAGCTTGTGACAAGAACTGAGCCCTGGCAGGGAGGGAGAGTGTTAAAGTTCATTAAATGCTGGGCTGGAGGGGACATTGTAGTAAGAGCTTTTTCCCTATTAGAGATGACATATCCATGTGTAAGGGAACGTGGATGTTCGGTGGTTAGCGTGATCAAGGGAGGATTTAATCAGCTACTTGATAGCCCTGGGTTTCTTGCGTGGCTTTTGTGTCTCATTCATAAAAGCAGAGATCTCGGAACCGTCACTTTACAATGTGATGGCAATTCTTAACCGTAAGCTTGTATTTGTAAAGCCTCCTGGCAATAGATCTGCCTGAGGAGAATAAATGGATGTTTTTGTTTTGTTTTGCAACAACAGAATTTTTTTGCAGCCTAGTTTGACTCAGACTTTAGGACTGACATTTGACTGTGTTTTCCTAATTGCTTCCTGCTCTTTGGCCATGGTTCTCGTTCTGGCACGGAAGAGTATGTGCAGCTGTAATCAGTCCAAATCAGCTGGGCTGCAGCTTAGTATTCTAAAAGGAGACAAGAGTTTTCCTGGTGACTGCTTTCAAGGAATACCTCAAGGTCCTTGTATCCCTACCTGCACTGAGACTTGGTTTTCTCCTGCTGCTGGCTTCTTTTTCCTGCCCCTACTGAGGGACCTTCTTGGCCATGTGGCTATTTCTCCTGGGCATGGGGCAGCAAGTCAGCCCTGTAACACTGTGGGCAGCGGGCCAGCAGCAGAGGGGTGCAGGCTACCATGTGGAGGGAGGATCCTTCTGGTTCCAGTGGCAAAGCACCACCTGGGACAGCTTGACATGCTTCAGTGTAGTCAGCCAGGGATAAATAGGTGCCACCTGTACAGCAAAGAGGCTCTAGTTTGGTAGGAAAACATGTATCTATGTAACCCTCTCCAAAACCTTGAGTGGGGCTGGGAGAACGCTGGGGTCCCCAGTGGCAAACTGGGGTAATACTAGGCGGTTGTCCCGGTAGAAATCCAATGCTGAAGGTTAAGAGAGATTTTGAGGACTGAATTTCAGTCAGTCTGTGATCCCTCGTCAACAAACCGATGGCGCCAGGTGCAGCTGGTGCCTTTTTAATGATGACCCATAAGGAGCAGCCCCATCCCTGCTGAGAACATCCCTGCAAACACCTCCCCGGCCCGGCGGAGCTGGGCGAGGAGCGAATCTGTTTGCCTGCCGTGCTGGATCAATCTTCCTATCTGTAGCGAAGCAGAGGAACGGAAATTGCAGCACTTCCTTGGTTAACCACGTCTTATCTGCTAATAAACAGAAACACCAGTGCTCAAATGAAAGCAGATGTTGCTGCACTTTAGGCAAATAATGTATTCTAATTTATACAAGGGCTTTATTATGGTGCAGTTTACAGTAATCACTGATAACTGAAATGGCAAAAGGATGTGGAAAGTGGTAGGTTTTAATGGAAGCCCCTAAACTACGGGGAGAAAACATGACTAGTAGCCCATTGGTGCAAGGAGCATTGCAAGTTAAATGTTGTCCCCCACCTCCAAAAACAACAACAACAACAAAAAAAAGCAGCAAAAGAGAGTGAGAAAAGGTAAGTCTGATTATGTATTTGAAATGTTAGGAGTACATTCCTTTCATGGCTTAATTTGCCTTCCATAGTAGCTAGTTAGTTTTTATTTTAATCAGCATTCACTTGTTGCAGTTGAGTTGTTTTCCATTATCAAGATATCTAGGTTTCACATGCTGCATATGAATGTTCCAATGCAAAAAATAATTAAAAATTAACAAAAAGGAAGCAAGAAATTGTGATAACACTTCTTCTATGAACATTTCTAAACCTTTTTTTTCTGAAGATTGGTGAAAGCAAATGCGTTGTGAAAGATTTGCCTGCCTATTTGTCTGCAGTAATTTGATTTGGTGCAATATATTTGTGAGAGTGTAACTCGCAGATTAAACTGGCATTTGGTATTCAAATTGATCAAGTTGATTCCTTTAGTTGTGACTGTCTTGACCTTTAGAGCTCGCTGGGGATAATGAAAAGCGCCTCTTGCATAGTTTCACTAGCTCCCATTTAAGCACGTAGATTCAGTTTGCCCCGGTTATGCCAGAGCTCCTCTGTCCTGCCCAGAGAAGCCTCTGGTGGCAGTTATATCCAGACTTCTGTCTAGTAAAACACTGGCTGTTTCCAGGGTTATTAGTGCTGCAGCCTGGGAGTGAGACCGAGGAGCCACCAGCGAGTTGGATTCGACAAGGAGATGCAGAGCAAAGACGGGGCAGGAGGGCACAGGGGGTTCTGCGCAGGAGCTGCTAGTGCTGGGCGGCGGGGAGGAGGGAATCAGAATGGGGTAGCGGCAGGAAAGGTTAAATATGTGGCTGCTTATCACCCTTTCTCCCCACCACACCCCAGCCTCCTTTAGAAGGGAAGCTTTAACCATGAAAAGCAACTGCAGTAACTGGAGCAGCTGTGGGATGCTGCCCGAACCCTATGTTAGCACTCTGAAGAAGATTTTGTTTAATTTCTTAATTGAAAAAAAAAATGAAGAGGCTCAATGTTTGATAGCCAGAAGGAAAGTAGTTCTTCCTCCAGATTCAGTTTTTGGGCAATGGTTCTGTGGATGTTGCGTGTTCAAAGGTCAGGGTGGCTGATGAGGCAGATCCCGTCCTTCAAATTCACTGGAAAAAAACAGTGTTTCCTGGATTATGATAAACTGTATAATAGTGATCAACTCTCTAAGTGTTGCACTGAATCTTTTTAGCATAGCCCTTTCTGTATTACTGCTTATCAGTATGTGGATGTACCTGCAAAGCACACCTGAGGCCTGCATTGGCTTTTGTAACAAAGGCCTAGAAGAGACTTCTATTTTTCTTTTTCATTTTTTCCCTTATAAGCATGAGCAGCTAAATGTCAAATCTGCCTGCTTCGGCTGAAGATTAATGAGAGCGCAGATACACGAGTTGAAATCTGATTCCTGCTTTAACATGTTTAAGATAAGCAATGGCTCCTTGCAGTTTAGGTGAGGGGTGAATTCAGGTATCGCACGTGGTCTGCGTTTCCTTCAACATCTGCAGAGTTTATTAATTGCTGCGATGCTTGGCCTGTGTTGGGGCTTGTCTCAAGATGCAGTCTGACACCTTCGAGTGTCAAGGCATGGGAAGAGAGTGGGAGGGGAGCTAGTCTTTATCTTGATTTATCTCCAAGCTTTATCTTGCAGTCAGTGAGAGCTTCACACTTGATCATGACGGGGTTTTGCCTCACGCCAAGAGAGCTTACACGGCACTTCTGTGACCAGGGGGTGTTCCAGAATAAATGAGGTGTAAGTGGGGAAAACCAGCCCCAGCCCCCCAATGTCTGCTTGCTCTTTCATGTTCAGGGCAGCCTTGTCCTCACTAGCAAAGTGTCAGTAGCTCTTTAAAGTATAAAACCACATCTTCCATCTAGGCCTGGCATCTGCTAAAGGGATTGTCCTTTTTCCTTTCCCTGGTTCTTATGTGGCAGCAGGGAGAAGGCCACAAGTGCCTCAGCCTTTCTGCTGAGGAAAGGAGCATTTCTTGCTGTGCATTCCCCGTCACTTGTCCAGTTTAGCTTTTGTGAGCATCTCTGTGCTGTGTTTTGGGACCCGAAGCATAAGGTGAGGGAGATGTTGCTCCACGTGCTGCTCAATCCAGCCCTTAGCAGCAGCCGGGGCTGCAGGCAGCCCGTGCTTCCAGGTGAGTGGCCTTGGGCCTCCCGAGCGCTGCTGCTGTCATCACTGCTGGGGAGCAGGGGCTGAAGGCAGTGATGTTGAAAATCACATCCATCCACTTCACGGTATTTCACATCACTTTTGGTTTTGGTTTTAATAGCAGGATTTTTGGCAGCTTTTTTACTGTTGTTACATTGTGGTCTTTCCTTCTTTTCAATTTCATTCTGTTACTGCAGCTACTGCTGTCACTTAAGTAGGGACCTGGGGTGCGCAGAGGTTTCAGGCTGGGTTCCTTTGCTTTCCTGCTTAAACTGTATGCATTTTCTGATGATCAAGTCTTCCAGCCTGTCTGGGCTCACTGAACTGTTTGGTACCTGCTGAATTGAAGAACAGAAGTTTCCTGCTGCCAAATGGAAGCAAATTAATGTCAAGCTACTTTCTGTTTTGTGAGTAACCTTCTTGTTTCTTTTCCCCCCACAGGATTTAAACTGCTTCGTAAGAAATAGTAAGTATTTTTTTGTCTTTTTTTTCCTCTTATTTGTGGCATTCTTATCAGACCTTATTGTTTTTTTAACTGTCTTTATGCACCAACTTGTTTCGACTGAAATGAGAGCGATGCAAAGTAAAGCTTTGCTGTTGCACCTCACTTGAGGAGTTTCTTACTTGGTCTGTAATCAGTTCTAGCCCAAAGGCAAATGTGAAGTCTCTCTTTTCAGGACAATCAGTAATATTAAAATAATATCAAGCAGTTTTTCATGAATGGATCTGCAGAACTTCTTGGCATTTTCCTGCAGTGGTTGTGCCAGGCGGGCTCCTTTCTGCTGCCGCAGCCACCCAGGCTGGGCAGACGCAGATATTTATGCAGCGGCACTTGGTGAGCCAGCCCCCTGAGCTGGCTCTGCTGAAAGCAGACAGGTTTAAAAAGGCTTTTGCCAAGAGAAGAGGGCAGAAGAAGAGCCAGGGTTTGCACTGGCAGCTTGAGTGTCATTCGAGTGTTCCTTTACAGCACAGCTAAGCCCTCTGCTCTTGGTTAATGCGCTGCCTTGTTTGAGCTTTTTTGCCTTAAAATCCACCTTGTGGTTCTAACCGTGTTTTTCTCCTCTAGGGGAAAAATTCATGCCCGGTACATTCTGGGCAAGAATTTGTTATTTTTCTAGGCTCCTCTAGAGATG